CCCCAAAACCCCAAAACCCCAAAACCCCAAAACCCCAGGGGTATGAGAATGACTTGAACTATGAATTAATTCTAATTTTGGATAAAAAGATGTATCTCACATCTCTTTGTTAAGGAATAAAACCTTTAGAAATTAGGTGGAGCTATTAGATTATCTTCGTGGTGGGGCTCGCTTGGGGTTACCTCGAGATCGTACAGATCATCCATAAACTCATCATCATGGAGGTCCTCAGGGTAGTCTTTTTCTTTAGCTACTCCCATTTGTTCGGTGAGCATCTCATCAGTATCGTTTTGTTGCATATCTTCATCCTGTTGCTCATAAAATTTCTGGCTTAGTTCTTCTTCCTGTTTAAGGTGACACTCAAAGGTCTTAAGTTGCTTTCGGATTTTAGTAGCAATGGAGATGTTGTGCAGTAGCATTTGGTCCAGAGACCCAATATATTCTTCAATATTAGATCCTGGCTTATCAACTTCATGAAGAATGACCATCTGTTTCTTGACTCCGTCTACAATATCATCTATGTACTTTTTGTGAGAGCCAAGGAGGTCCTCCTCTTCTTGGAGAATCAAGTTGACAAGGGATTCATGATCATGGCATATTTTCTCAAGACCTAGAGACTCAGGCTCTATTTCTCCCTCCATTTGAATGTCAGTTAGTGATTTCTTCGACTGAAATGTTGGTGCTCTGTGAGACATCTGCTTGTTGCTGTCTCTACGAGCGAAAGGCATCTTCTTCTCAGTAGCATAATGGGTTCCACTTGAAGGACCCTTGATCATGCCTTGAATGCTCTGAATATTCTCATTGATCTCGACCAAATTATTGGTCTTAGAATTAATCTGAAGTCCATTCCCGACTCTGTTCGAGTTTCTGTATCTAGGTGATTTGTTTTGGTGAACTTTTGGAGCCTGAGAAGTTTTAGGACGCATTGATCTCTTGTTTTTCTTAGAAAAAATTTCAGGCTCAACTGGTGTAGGCTCTTGTCTTTGAAGAGCAACAGGCAAGTTCTTGTTCTTGATGGTAGTAGTCTGGAAGGAGTGTTGCTTTTTGATTTCCTTTTTCGTCGTATGGGAACCATTCCTAGCCAGCATTAGTGAATCGCTTTTGTCTCTGTTTTCGTTTTTCAGCTCTTTCACTCTATCTGCATATCTTAAAGAGTTGAGTGTATTCTCACAACAAGAAGCTCCAGGAGATACATTTGCAATCATCACTGTTTTACAATTTCCAATAAATGAATCTTTTAAGACTTGAGTGAGTTTGCTTCCTCTGAATGGAGTATGCTTTTGATCTTTGTCTAAAGCTCTAATACATTCTTTAAGAGCCAATAAAGACTTGTTTATTTCTGCTCCATCTTGTCTTGTTTTCTTGTTAGACTCAGATGTGTCGGCTCCTCTCTCACTACCAGCTAGATCGATGAAGGACATCTTTCCCACAATTTTATTAGCTTCATTTCTTAGTACAACTTGCATGATTGCATGGGATCTGGAAGAATCTGCATTTGCTGCCGTTGAACCTGTAGTTCTTTCAGTTAGACCGTAATTTATGACTTGCATAAGTTCCTCATCAGTATCTCATGGAGCTTCTGTTAGTCCCATGATTTTGACTCTCTCCTTAGCGTCTGAACGAGCGTGCACTTCTTTTCTTTTGTTAAGGAGATCATGCAGTTTTCCTCAATAAATTTCGAAGAGAGAGCAATAGATGGTATATCCTGAGTATGCTGGCTCTCTCAGTAAGAAAAAGATATCCTCAGCAGCTTGAAGATAAATACCTGGATGCTCTTGTTCAGGGGCGGTTGGGTTTGGACCCATCATGGTAAATGTTTTCCCACTTCCAGTTTGTCCATAAGCAAATCAACTCACTTTTGCACCTTCAAAAGCAGCAGCGATGATCGGCTGTACACAAGTTTGATATACTTCCTTGTTAGATGCATCTTCTCCAAACGCATTATCGAAGGTGAAAGTATGCTTCTCAATAAACTTCGAAAGATCTACCTTCTGCTTAACCTCTTGAACCACCATAGTTTGAGGATCCTCCACTGAAAGTATATCCCTATCTTTCTTAGTAATCTCTTTAGTATTCAACGGTCTCTTCCTGACCACAACTCTTATCTTTGGTAAACTTTGCGCCTCCATTGGTTTAAATTATTTCTAACGTTTATTTTTCAAATATTTATTATAGTCTTGGGGTTTTGGGGTTTTGGGGTTTTGGGGTTTTGGGGTTTTGGGGTTTTGGGG